TTCCCTGAAAATGCTTTCTTGGGGTTCTTGCGTCGCGGCGAGGCAGGCGCGTGTGGGAGGTGGGAAGCCGCTGTCCCACAGCGGGCGCTCGCTCTGCGGCCTGGCAGGAGGCAAAACTTGCCCTTTTCTACAGCCAGTTTTTGCTATTCTTAAACAAGAACGTTGAAAATCCAACAAGCTCTAGAGCCGCCAGGAATACAGCGCGTGTGACTGCCAAGCGGGGCTTTTTATTTTTGATGTCATTTGGGAAGGAGAAGGGTTCGGCAGGGACTCCGGAGCAGCCGTTTGCAGTTCAGCTGAGCCGGGAGCCCTCGTGCCGCTCAGCCGGGGAGGTTTCCAGCTCGACATCCCGCTGCCAAAACATCACTCCCCACCGCGGCGTCGCGCCGGGCCCCGGCATCCACCTGCCGGGTGGGGACTGCGGCCGGATGCCGGGGTTTCGGGGAGCCGTGGGCGGGGAGGATCACGCCGTAATTAAAAGCAGCCTGAAAAGAAAGGGTGGATGTAAACTGCACTCCTTCATTTGGGTGCTTTGATCCCAGCTTTAGTCACTGGCTTGGTACGTGAGGGCTGAGTAAGGCGTTCGGGCTGTGCCCGTGTGGGCTCCCGTGGCCGGGCAGGTTTTGGGGTTCAGACCCTGCATCCCCTCCCCGGCGGTGATGGGGAACCTTCCGCGGGTGGCATTGAGGTTTCGGCCAGGCTGTTTGCGTCCCTGCAGTGACAGCTGGGACCTGCCCATCGCTGGTCGTGCTGCTGACTTCCCAAGAGGCCGGGTCGAGGGTGAATCTCCCCATTTCGGAGCCGTCCTCCACGGCACAGCTTTGCTGGAGAGCTGGCAGGGCCATGCTGCAGGCACGCGTGTCCCAGGCTGCAGCATCGCTCCTGCCCATCCCTGCTCCCAGCATCCCCTTTATGGGGACCTCCTGGCCAGCTTGGGTGCTGGAGCCGGCGAAAATGCTCCTCAGCCAGCAGCCCCGAGGGACGGGGGTCAGTGCAGTGCTGCTGTGGTTGGTCTGGGACCGTGTGGGACGTGGCGTCTCCATCATGGCAGTGCTGGGGGTGGGCTGGGGGCTGCCCTGCGCGGGCCCTCTCCTCCGTGCTGGACATAGAATGGCTCAGTTGAAACCTCTACACTCAATCACTGAGGGTGTAACCAGCCTCTCCGGCAGCTCCCGGGCTGAATTTTGGCTGGTCTGGCTGAAAGGAGATCATGAACAATAAACACCGTAAAACCACCAGCACCAATGGGAAATACTGTGTGGTTTTGGGACAGGCCAGCTGGGTCCCAGCCCAAGTCCCATCCCACCGGGCAGCACTGGGCAGCCAAGCTCCTGTCACCGGGGATGTGGGACGGTGTCTCCTTCCCCGGGATTCTACCCTCAGCTCACACGTCGGCCGCTCCGGCTGCACCCCCTCCCAACCCCCTGGGGCTCCCG